CCAATGAGCAGGAGAGGAAGAAGACTCATCACTGCTGCCGCTTTACATGTCTGCTGTTTTAAGGACATGTTGTTATTCTGATAGCTTAGTGGTTTAGGTATGGTTGGGTGTTCAGTTCCTCATTTTTCAATTGCACTTGAGAAGAGCCACCCTGTGTGGCCTTGGGCAAGCTGCAGCGCTCCAGGATGGCCCCAGAAAAAGGGAATAGTAAACCACTTCTGAGAATTCTCTACTTGGAAACCCTGAAAAAAAGGTCACCATAAATCAGAATCGACTTGAAGGTACATATTATTCTGACTGAATTTATGTTAGAATTATGACAGCCTTGTCAACTGAAGAACAGGCCAAAACTGAGAATTTGCATATACTTTTAAATGAATTTTCAGCTATCTCCAAAATGTCCTTAACAGCTTTAGATATACTTACATATAAAGAAAGGATTCCAAAATATTTTGTTTCACTCATCACTGGTTGAAAAATTGTTATTGTGTCACTTTCTTTTATATATAAATTGATTTCATTCTTAAGCTAGTATTTTGAACCCAAAGCTTTTAGAAGTTCACCCTGGTATTAGAAGCCTGGGTGAGTAAAGAACAGGAAAAGCTTTTGACACAGAAATCAGAAAAGGCACTTGCGTTTTGGTTTTATGTTTACGTCTTAACAAATCTCATACATATGAGAAAGTAAAACCACAAATGTAGCCAAGGCCACAAACCTCTATAACAACCAACCTGATTACAATATAGACGCAATACTTCAGATATCTGATCAGGATTTAGAGATAAGACACACTGTCCTGCCCTTCATCCCTGCCATTTTGTGTGAACATTTCCAGTGTTTCCCTTCTAATATTAAGCAGAGCTTGAATGCTATAAATTACAAGTAACATACTGACGTAACAAGATTCTGGGGTTTTTGTTTCTTTAACTAGTAACAAGATTCTGGGGTTTTTGTTTCTTTGTAAGCACCTTTAACTGGTTGAATGCAATTTTTTACTAGTGTAGGCATCGTTCAGTCTTGAGAGACTATGGTAACATGCTCTGTATGGAGGTCTTGGAACAGTGTCTCGTATGGCTGAGAAGGCCAATTCGAGAGTGACAATCCCTTCCACATTGAAGACAAATGCAAACTGTCCCCTGTCCAGATCTCTGATTTTGCTGCTTTCGTGCCTGCCTCTTTGCCTCGGCCTGCTGGACAAGGGCCTCTTCAAATTGGGAGAGGCCATGATACACTGCCTGCCCCCAGGCTGAACGCTCAGACGTCAAGGTTTCCCATCAGTTGAGGTCCATTCCTAAGGTCTTCAGATCCCTCTTGCAGATGTATCGCAGCTGTGGTCTCCCGCTGGGGCAGTTTCCCTGCACTAATTCTCCATACAGGATATTTTTTGGAATCCAACCATCAGCCATTCTCACAACATGCCCAAGCCAATGTAGACGTATTTTTTACTACGTGCCATGGAAAGGGTGTGTGGGTTTTGTTTGGGTTTTTTGATTACTTTATATATATATAAACTAGTGAGAAAAGTCCAGGTTACACAGCATTGACAATATTTCAGTCCCTGTTGAGTAGTATTTCCTCTGGAATTTTTTTCCAGAAACACAAAATTTTTCCATCTCACAGTGTATCTGAATGACCTTGAGCCAGCTTGCTAATTATAAACTTGCTGTTTATCAGACAGTTCGCTTTGAAAAAAAAAAAAAACAAGCTGGCATGCACGGTTCACTGCTTCCTCTTTCTCCACAGTGTATCTGAATGACCTTGAGCCAGCTTGCTAATTATAAACTTGCTGTTTATCAGACAGTTAGCTTTGAAAAAAAAAACCAAGCTGGCATGCACGGTTCGCCGCTTCCTCTTTCTCCTTTTGGTCAGGCATTTTCCCTTTAGTTTCTTTTACATCTTAATGAGGTTATTCATAAATCAAAGGCTTGCTTTGTTGTTGTTTCTGTTCTCTTTCCTCGGGAAAATTGGGGGTGGAGTTTCGTGCAGCTTTCTGCCATAAAATGGCCTCCTGTCTCCGGTCTGTGCGTGGGTGAATATTCAGAGGGAAGAAAGCCCTGGTTGCTGCCAAATCTTCTACCTTCTGGGCTCACCATCTGCTTCAGGGTGACCTCTCCTGGTCTCCCCTTCCATCCCCCCCTTTCTAGAGGGACGACAGGCCGGGCAGTTCCAACTTTTCCCGGGAGCTGTTTGCCAGGAGCTGCTGGCTTCACTGCAGTCAAGCTCCGCCTCCCAGGTTTTTTGGTTACTTTTGAAAGTTACTGTTAACGGCATTTTGGCAGGAATTTTAAATGCTTAAATGCTCTATGCATTCTTTGGAAAGGAATTTAGGGGAGTAATAGACCAATTATATTTGGAGAACACTTCTGCAGTATTTGTTAATTATGGGATGACAGAGCAAATAGCTCTAGGCTGAGGCACCAGACAAGGTTGCCCGCTTTCTCCAGTTCTGTGTTGTCTGATTACTCGTATTGAAATGTTAGCAAATGCAATAAGGAATGACGATTTAATTGGAGGTATGGGTGAAAATAATTTTAAAAAGATTAATTTATTTTATTCGTGAAGGCTTTCACGGCCGGGATCTAATGGTTGTTCTGGGTTTTTCGGGCTCTTTAGCCATGTTCTGAAGGTTGTTCTTCCTAACGTTTTTTCCAGGGAGATTTCTTTTCTCATGAGATGGCCAAAGTATTGAAGCCTCAGCTTCAAGATCTGTCCTTATAATGTGTTCTCGAAGGCTTTCACGGCCAGGATCTGATGATTGTTGTGGGTTTTTTGTGCTCTTTGGTCGTGTGCTGAAGGTTGTTCTTCCTGACCTGTCACCAGTCTCTGTGGCC